CCACTTAAATATTTCATGTCTTCTTATCAGGGTTTGCGGGTTTAAGTTTTGTTACGACAGAAGAGGTTGGCAATCGGGGTGGTGAACGGCAGGAAGGGGTAGCAAATTCAACACTTGACACTTTGATGTCGACAAGGAGGTGGGAGGTATGAGGCAGACCGGTGGTCAGGACACTGCTAGCGGAGGTATAGGAGCGAGTGACTAACCTGCTGCTTATCTTCATCTAGCAAAACTGCCAAAATTGCCTAAAATACCTGCTTGCGTGAGTGCATGCAAACACAAAGGGAGCATTTGGTAGATTGGAATTTGAGATGAGCAGCGATTAAGTAGGAATATGTTGGTGAATGAGCCTTTGCCATTGAAAAGAGTCTAAAACATGATTTTATGCATTTACAGTTTTTCTGCATTTAGAGCGCAAACGGGAGGGTAATACAGGCATGGCCTAGTTTTAACTTTAACGCCCTGTTACCGTACTCTTATTTTTACCATATCGAATCACCCCTTCTTTCATACTTTGCCGTGATGGGAGCTGAAATGCGACCGTTTTGTACTTTCTGACCACAACCTTCGGTTTTAAACAGCAAAACATTGCCTAGTAAGTTTGCCCATGTCATAGTCTAGGTCTAATTTAACCGGTGCTAGTGTAAGTGGACTTGTTAAATCGGATCAAACCTCACGCCACCATGTCACATTTACATCTATAGTTTGAAGAGCAACACACTACAAGTGCCATATTTTGAAGGACTTTCGGGTTTTTACAGTCAGATCTGAAATTTTTGGTTTTACCTTATTCACAAACTGATAACAGCCTTCAGTTTATTTAGCACATTTGTATTTATCCCCTAGTCCCGTGGACAAGTTAATAAATAATGACACGTTCACTGTTAACAGGATGAGCCAAATTTTCCTACAGAAACGAAGGCAGATCAACAATATGGATTGACCCAAGACAGTCACCCAAGGAATGCGACAAAACTGATTTGTAAACTACCCGAATAGCAACATCAGTCAATAAAAAGGGACAACTTAGGCAATTACTTAAACAACTTCTATTTAAATGCAGCATCAGTTGAGTGCCTCAAGTTTTGGCGATGAGCCTGCACCCGAAAACAGCTCTAAAACATGGCTATTTCAATTTCAGAAAAATACGAAGCCCCCATTGAAAAACTACTACCTCCCTGAATTTAATGCAATTACTTCAGTGAGATCTCCGGAATATGTCCAAACTCCATTCGTTTAATAAGAAGTCGAAAGTCCTCTTTCCGTATCTACTTTCATGTGAGCGAAATCAAAATTTCTGAAATGGCTGTGTAAATTGAGCAAAGCAACTTCAGGTGGGATTATTTCGACGAATAGCACACCTTAAAATAACCTTTATTTGTTACGTTAGTTATGCCTTTCGTGATACGGCTTCACAAACGCAGCTTTGCCAACGTAGTTCCAGCTACATAACAAAGAAGTAAAGCATGGAATCGGCCAAACTGTATATTCTTCAATGCCGATTTTTGGAAAACCAGCAAAACCATGGTACCACCCAAAAACGTTAGTCGTTGTATTCATTGCTTTCTCGCGTGTTCTTTTTATCCCCTCTTCTGCAGTTTGCGCGAGCGGTTTTCTCACGAGGGTGGGCTGACGAGCAATGGACGGGCACACCTCGTCAGGTTGTATCGTCTATCCCTGATAGGTAGAACGTCTTGTAAGGCTTCAAAAAAGGCTCATGCATTGGGTTTGAAGAAACAAAAAGCTATGCCCGAACCCCTGCCAAAAGCCACATTTCTTTCTTCAACCCCTTTAGGAGCACAAACAAGCGCTTCCATGCACTTCAGAAGCCCGCCAAATTTCCCACGAATCGAGATTGGCATTAAAAGGAATCGCGTTTAGAGTAACCATGACGCAGCACCAATTCAGCTACAGATGTCAGTAGCAAATCGTAGCCATCTGAGTCCAAATATTTATGTTATCTACTGATTTCAAAATTAACAGTGAAAACCGAATGAACGTCCGTAATTATCCATTTGGTTTTGGAAACTGCTTGCCTAAATCACTAGTATGAGTTCTTGAACATGTGACCTTATAAGTAATAGGACTGATTAAACAGCGAGGTCACAGTCTATATTTTGTAAGCAGGTTCTCGTTTGTACCTTTTTTAGCCACAATTGTTGTTCACGCATGGTTTGTTTCCCTACGTTAAGAGTGTTATGCCATTTACTCTCGGTCATTGTCCAAAATTTAACCTCGGATAATCAGCGTTGGCAACGAGGAGTTGTTACCCGCTTCTTAGATGGCTTGCAGATGCCTTTGTTGATTGTGCTCAGACTCTTTTGCTACTGAAGCAGATAGTACACTTTAACGAAATACAAACCAGTTTATTTACTTGACTCAATTATCCGATTCCAATGTTTTGGGAAAGCAGTGACAGTTTCTGTATTTTTGAGAAGAGGGGCTAATTGGATTCCCTTAGCCTAAAGTTTAGCCTCGCTAATATCATTTTGCTAGCCAAAGTTGGTTTTATTTTCCCAGACTTACGAATTTCCGTTGGCTCGCACGCAGTTTATTTTTTTCTTCCCCTCATGGCGGAATGCTCCTTGTAAAGCCCCGACTTTAGGGACCAAATAATCTAATAAGTTTATTGCTTTACAGAAGGAAGAGAGGGCGGAGGAGAGAGTGAGAGAAAGCGGGAATAAAAAGTCTTAAGTTGAAAAAGATGACGAGGAGGAGGAGGACGACCGAGAGCTCCATTGGGAATTCTGCTTGCTAAAAGCTTGTTATCAGACAATGTGACACAAGAAACTGATTATGTGAGGTTTGGCAAAAAATTTAACATAAGCTAACGGATAAAGATGCTGAATTTCCCCAGAGAGTGTGAGGCCTAGAGGTAATTGCAAGCGAACAATTAAATTGAATTTTGTTCATGGGCTAAATCCCGTTGGCTTGTATCCAAGTGGCGGCATCGTCGTCATTTGACTTCGAGTACACAGCCGACCGGATTATGAACTTATTCAACCCGATGAAAGCGGCTGCAACTTGTCGGCCGCAACCGTACGATACATTTTGGTTCGATAGAAAATATACCTTTTTTACGAGACCAAGTGCGATAACAGAGTCGCTTGCGAAAAGTTGTTATAATCCGACTGTCATGAAGATAGGTGTAAAATAAAAGAGTAACACCTAGAAAAGAATCAGCACAACATGCAGGGCGTCTTCGCTTTCCTCTTTTCAATCGCCCCAGTTCTTCCCCATCTATTAGAGATGCAATCTGGAACTGCCATTATATTTCCTAGGGGTTACCATTGGGGAATTTAAATAAGTGGGCATTGCGTGCAGACCATTATCACCAGCTTCAGACACTCCGGCACCCCCTTAAGTGGGAATTGAGCAACCGCCCACTAGCAGACCGCAATCTTGACACCGCATCTCTTCACTCGAGCGTGAGCCCGAATTGGAGTTTCGAGGGGTGAGGTGGAGCTTGAAACTGTGAAAATTTCGCACAATTTGATTGGATGACAAATTCGTCAAAGATAAGGATCGACGCTCTTGCCTGCGTGTGCACAAGCACTGCAGTTTGTGGGTGAGGCAGTTTTGGAGTATCAGCCATCGCACATTGGTACACGAACCCGTTGCCTGTCTAGCTAACAATAAAACAACTATGCTAATCTTTTTGAAAGGATGTTTTGAATTTCCTATCAGACTTCATGTTTTTTTTATTTTAAAATTGCATAAATGGCAGCTCTCGATGGGACACCTGTTCACCATAAAATTTGCCTGGTCTCCTTCATTAAAATAACTTATTTAAGGAGGTCTACACTGATATTCGAAATAAACCTTAAAGTAATGATAAACCGGCGTCTATCACAAGAGATCGTGCCTTCCAGCGCTATCGCAGGTGCCCTCCGGTGTCCTGGGCTCCCCGGGCCTCCCGCGACGTGACCTGCGGCCCACTCGTCACCCAAGTGGCATGGTGGTCTTTTTGAAAGCGCATTTTGAACATATAACAACGTCGGCACGGCTGTTTTCGATTTATTTCATAATTCACTAGAGTTTCTAGACGCCTTTGCAGATTCACTTCATTTTTGACAATCAAAGAGAAATTATTATGTAGCAATTGCCACCGCGATCTGACCTCCAGCTAGCCAGTTTCAAATATTTACTGTGTTTCGAGCGATCAAATTAAAACTCTAGTTTTTTGAAGTGTGAGGATATGGCCGCTTAGACAACCGCAAGCAGCAATAGGCCAACCGTTTCCCTTCCACGTTTACACTACTGAACAGAAATAACTCGGTTTATTGGAATTTAATTAAAGGGGAACCAATGTTCTCGCTTACCTTTTCAGATCCTGCACGAAGTCCTTGGTAGTATTTAGATCACACCACCGGAATTCGGCAATTGGAAGCGAAATATGAATATGAAAACACCGTGAGGCCGGTCGGTGCCAAGGAAAAGTGACTCCGGACACGAGTTCAGCCAAACGTTCGGCCACGCAGGTGTGACGTCGGTCCAATTACATAGTCGACATGTCCGACGCATAGGCATTTTAGAGGAAAGCTTTCACTTTATGCACACATCCATGACGCATAGAAAGTAGGTTTCTGAGGTATTTTGCTGGGATGCAACGAACCGATTTTATCGGTATTTTTAAATCCAATTCAAACTTCTATTGCTTTCCTGCTTGGTACAGTAAAAAACGCTTCGTAATAACTTCAACATCATTGGCGTTAGTTGTCCACATCAAAATTGGCAAAATGCTTCAGGCAGCTGGTAGCCTAATTCTGTTCAGTAGCTTTTCATTATTTGGATTCCTTACATGTTATTCCATTTTGTTATTTTTAATGCTTCTGCATGCTGTGTGATCCTTTCTCAAGGTCCTATTTGACTAACATAACCGCCATACTTTAAAATACCAGAAGTTATGTTACAAATCTCGATTGAATTTTTAAGAAAATCATGTGGAGAAGTGCGCAGGTTTGGGTTATTGCTAGCTCATCGTTTGAACACTTTTGTACATGAGTTCAGTGTACGGTCCAGCGTACATGACACCGAACGCCTCCTCAAACACCGGCAAGGGGTCGGTCAGCGCTGCCACGTTAATCCAGTTTGGGGTTTAATGTCAACTGATGCAACCAACAAGTGTCATTTTCTGGTGCCTCATTGCTACTGTAAGTAATGGATAATTTTATTTTAAACTAATTTCAATCTAAGGGTGGCTAGTCTAACTACCTGGTTTTCTAAAAATTCTGGAGCCACGTTCATCTTCTACATTCGATAGTAAAGAACCCTACGCAGTAACTACCTATGACTGGGTAATAGGGAAAAAGAAGGATTTTATGTGAAAATAGTATTTCTTCAAAAACCTAAAGGCGTCCTACTTTAACCCCATCGAAATGTATCTTATTTTGATCTTTGAATAAACAGAATGTGCACATTTGGAAATTAACACGTGCCAGTAATTTGCCGATGTTTTTATAAGTGTGTACTCGTGTGCGGTTTCAATTCCGCGTGCCTCCCGTTAAGGGGGAAGTGTGTGGGGGTGGGCAAGACTGTGTTATGTTAACATGAATTCACAGGTTTGCAACTTTTCACCTTATATGTCGGCCAGGCGTGTGCGTGCCCTTGCGTCTCAGTTTTGCCAAAAACCTGTTGCGATTGTGAAAATGTGCGCAAAGGTCGCCTACAGGTCGTCATAACAAAGCGTAGATGACTTATTAGAAGACATTTTAAGCCTTACCGATAGCAAAATTGGCTATTTTTCCTAATGATTTAGAAAAAAACACCCGACGAGGGCAAGTTCTTATAAATTTGTAGAGATTGCGATTGAACTTTTAATATTTTTGGGACTGGTTGAACAGAAGACTGAACTTGAATGCAGATTTAAAACTGGCATTTTTACCGTAAATTATAATCTCAAAGTTGACTGCGACCAGTATATGGATAACTAAATTTCGAATCTTAGCGACAAAGACAAGCAGGCATGCATAGTCATCAAGGGAACGCATTTTATGCACACTGGATTTCTGCCCTCTTATTTAAATGTCTAGCTATACGTTTTTACTTAAATAGATCGCCATCAAAACAAATGGTGGTTTAAATGTCAGAGCACCCATTGGTATACTGCTGACCTCTTGGGGCATTTATTAAACAAATTAACCAAATCAAAATGTCAGGATTTGAATTGCACACTCACCAACAAGGTCAGTCGGCTTGGCATTTTAGACGTGAAGCCCAGTGGAAGTGAGGTGCTGATTTGTCACCTAGAGTTTGCGAAACCCTGCGAAACTGATCGACAGATCTCAGAAATTATTTTACGTATCAGTCAACATTTAGAATGAATTTAGACGGATGACTGCCTGCCTTCCAACAAGAAAATAGGCATCTTCTTATATCTTTATAAAGTATTGTACATCGTTGTTATCAACTTAGTTTAAGTAGCTTTGCTCACGGCAACACACCTTGCGTAATTAGGCCTAAATTTAGTAGCAAGTTGGTAGGATACGTGCTTCGGCTTCAGTATGAAAGGTCAATCCCAGTGCCATTTCCCCTAGCCATGACCGCCTTTACCCAAACCAGACATTCTGTCACCCCGTCGACTTTGAGTTTATTTCCAGCCAAGTAGCTCCACATTAACAGAGCGACGACCTCGGACGACGAGGTGAACGTGGCAGACGGTACCATGTCAGATCACCGTTTCTTCCTGGGTGGTGATCACGGTGTGTCCTTGTTGCAGCCCGCTGTCCACACAGGGCTTGGTCCACGCTTACCGAATAGCAGCCGCGATCGTCTTGTCCAGATGCAGCCTCCTGAAATGCCTCAGTTCCTCTAGGCTCTACAACAAACGAAGCAGCGTCTATTGAGTGCGCAAGTCATGTTGGGAATTGGCTCCTAATCTCCTCAGCAATGGGCGCGGTTCGCGTGCGTCACTAGGGAAGACTCAGTTGCTGCGTGGATACAGCGAACCTCCCGCACATTGCATGACTTGCTTAGCGCGATTCCGACACAAGAGTTTCCTTCTGCGCTTCCTTGCGCACAACAACGTAGGGGCATTGACTAAAACTCTCATTTCCAAAGCTTACTACCTCAGCCGAGAATCAGGCAATCGGTTTTGCCATTGGCACCGAGGTGTCACGCACTCTCCTCAGGTCTTCCACGTGTTGTGGCGTGGGTTTGCTGCCGCCTTGTTCTGTTTGGGATCAAACAACACGCGGAAGAGACGGCAACGCGGTTAGTAAGTCATTTCAAAGACATGAGGGGCTAGTACTAAACTCGCGATTTAACGTTCCCCAATGTGGTGTGAGAAGAATCGCAGAAGGGTCATGTTGCCAAATGAACTAGAATAGGACAAAAAAGGCGCAGTCACCAATTGACCGCCCTGCTACCATTCTGTCCTTGGGTTATCTGTGGTTCGAAATGACAATAAAGACAATCGATAAGTGGTTATGATGCTGCTCCTTGTGATGTACACAAGTGGTCAGTGGAGGACACAAAGACCGTGGTCCCAAGACGGACTCTGCAATGCTTCATTTGGCCCGTGCTGAGACTAACGGGTTTAGTGACGCACTAGGAGGAGTGTTTGTGAGTGATTTAGTGCAACCGTTGACGAAAGGCTTTACATCCATGCTCACATGCGCACTTCAATGCTGATGAAGCACTTCAATAGAAATGAAGCCGGCTTCAAGACTCCATATTCAGAAAAAAAAACAAATCTTTTGACCACATTCCTTTCCTTCCGATTTGATGGCAATTTTAAAATGCCTCGTTAACAGTGAACATCATTAGTACTTTTGATGTGTGCCAAGAGTTTACCTTCAGCAAATACAAGCGAAATATCAAAAGAACATGACATGTTAGCTAAGGAGTTTCGTCTTCTTAAGCTCTTTTGAATCGAGACAGCGTTTGACTTACTTGTTCAGTTCTATAAGTAGAAATGCGTGAGCTAAATCCACACCATACCCTTATGTGTTTACAAAACCTTAAGACAGATAAACAAATGAATTTCTGACAGCCAATCCTTTCAATATAAATTTGCATAAAGACAATTTAACAGCTCTCTTAATAGATTTTCCCCTCGAGGTATTACAGTATTTTGCAAAAAACCCACAGGTAGTCATCTATGCAACTTAATTACTTGTGTGTGCACCATTACCACTCTGAGGTTGAATTAAATATCCGGGAAACCTGAACCTACTAAGAAACAGACACTAGAGGTCGTTACCTAGAGACACACAAGTACCCCTTAACTATGATGGATGTAGGGGAATTTCACTTTATTTCCCACTTTGCCCACACACAAGTCCTTAAGCACAAACCAAAACACACTTTTTATCATATTTTAACAACCTCGCATGGGGATGCGCGCTAATGCTGTGCCAGCGTATTTAGTGGTTTTACTAGGGTGCTTTTATATAACCCCTCATGGGAACAGGGGGTTTGGCGGGAGGCGCGCAACTGTCGCCACCCTTTTTCTAACCTCTCTTCTGTCAGGAAGACGATAACGATGATCAATGCGTTTAAAATCATCGTTGTTTTATGTTGTAAGCGGACGAGCCCTGTTTATCCGGTGTGTGTGTGTGTGCGTGCGTGCGTGCAAGGCACCGGAACAACTGATTTGTATAAAGTCCGCAAGCATCTGGTTGGGAGAGAAAGCGAAGGAATTTTACGCGGCGTGCGAGGGTCTTTAATGTGCTTCTTTGTGTGATTGTGTTTTCACAAATGGTTACGTGTAAAATAGAGCATATTGAAAAGAAATATTTGCAAGCCCGATAGTTGCTGCATGCAGCCATGTGAGTGATCGTTAAAACAAATCAACGAAATCTATTAAAGGTATTAAATAGCCAATTGGACTAGAGAAAAAATGTCAAAGAAAAAGTAAAAAAATGGATAAAACCTTTGGCGACCAGTGGATGCTCAGTTTCATACAAAAATTCAACCGAATTTAACATCTGTCATGCCATTTATCAACGCTGTCACCACTCCCCTCAAACTCTCCTCCTGTCTGAAGACGAGAGTTGAAGAAGGCGAGGAGAAAGCCAGAGTGCGAGTCAGGACTGTGAGGAGGCTTGGAAGAAGGTGGCAGCGGCTGGCGTTCGAACAGACTTGACGACTGTTGATGAATGGGACAGAGTGCTGTTGTGATGGCGGCTTCTGGC